TTACTGGGAAAATTCACCGACCTCATCGCTTTGACGATTTTTTAAGTTTTTTTAAATTTTCAGATCTTTCCTGTTTTAGCAAAGTTTCTATGAAGCGATTCTTTCTACCCAAAAATCACATTATTTTTTAGTTTTACTTGAAATACTGCCAATCTTCAGGTATTTTCTGTGAAAAATTATAAGATACATTTTATTGGGACACTCCCCTCCTTAACCGCTTTGCAAAAACGTTTGGAAAACTTTTTGCAGCTTCGAACTATGGACAAAATCCTAATAATTATTTCTAAGTCTTTTTCCAAAAATATTTCCCCGAACTGAAAAAGCGAAAGTTTACAATCATTTATTTGGAAAACTCTTGGAAACTGGAGTTTCTTCACTTTCGGGTCAATATTTTTAATCAACACTGTCTCTAAACAGAAAATCCGCGTTTTTCTAACGTTTTCCTGTAAAATACTGGCAAACTGAATCTTTTATGCAAAAAAACAAGAGATCGATTTTACAAGAAAACTCGTCGACCTTCTTTGAACTCAGTTCTGTTGCCAGAACTCAAATCTAGATTACTTTTTTTAGTTGTTTGAACAAAGTAGTAAACGTTGCTCAGAAAAAATGTTAATAACCCTTTTTTAAATGTGGAAATTCCAGTTTCGGGCCTCGTAAAGCTTTAACAAATGAATTATAACTCATTAACCGATGAGTTGTAACTCGTTAACTCATAGAGCGGCAACAACTCAATAGCGCAACTCAACACAGTGTTCCCAGGCCTACTATGCGCATTTTAAGCCAGTTCTAAACCCGTTCTAAACCCATTGTCAGAGCAGACAATGCAATGCAAACACGCTCAAAGAATGCACATAAAACCGACTGGACTATTGGGGAGAAGTCCCTTAAAATTTCCCTGGGGTTTTCTCTTTTAGCGTGTTTTCCAACTGGCGCAGCAGGAAACCACAAGCTCGCGGGCGTTTTTGATTTTCGAGGAAAAACCGAACACAATTTTCCACTCTACATTTTTTCGGGTCACACACCATGAGCGGCGAAAGAAACAGCTCGAAATCTTCTAATTGCGTGCGTTTGCTTCAGATTGCAATCGCCACTTCTGGAACACAAACTCTTTTATCGATCATTTAACTATTTTTGGCCCCCATAGCTAAACCTGATTGTTTCAGCCAGTTGGGGTGACATTGACGACAGTTTGACGCAATCGGCCTTTTACATTGAATTTACAATTTTATATTGGGAATTTACAAAGATGAGTTTTGCGGTGAAGTTGCGGCCGTTGCCATCGAAGCGCAAACCCTTGCGGGTTGGTGGAACAGTGAAGAGACGCAAGCCGATTTCCAGCGTCAAGTGCAAGAGGTGCAATAGCACGCCACTTGCCAGCAGGCCCCAGGAGTTCCCTACCATATGGGAGGAGCTACGAGCGAATAATCAGCTTTGCGACGGCGTGGTGAAGTGCGAGGACAACGTCCAGTTCAACATCCATCGCATCATTTTGTCCTCTATCAGCCCATATTTTCGAGCTTTGTTCACCAACTCGATCAACAGAGGGAGGCAGGAGGTGCGGGAGGCCAACGTAAACATATCCAGCTCTGCCTTCAAAGTCATCCTGGACTTTGCCTACACTGGGAGCTGCGTTCTGGATAAATCCAACGTGTTTGAGGTGCTGAAGTACGCCGATCAGTACGAGATAATGGACGTGGTCCAGAACTGCTGCCAGTTCCTACTGAAGGACTTATCCCCCCCTAACTGCCTGCAGGTGCTGAGGTTCGCCCATCAGTTCCACTGCCAATATCTAGCCACCAAGGCCAACATGTTCCTGCTACAGAACTTCAGCGAAGTGCTAAGCCAAAACCCTCAGTTTGGGAGCTTAACGTCCCAACACCTCCAGGAGATCCTCACTAGTGACTATCTGAATGTGAAGTCCGAGGAGGTGGTGGTGCAAGCCATCCAGCTCTGGATCGGTGAGGTGCCAGAGGCCCGCAGGGCCCATTTGCTCCAGTTGCTCAAATGTGTCCGAATGGGCTGCTTGAGTGCGGAGAAATTGATGAAAATCGCCCGCTGGCCTCTGATTGAAGCAGACACCAGCTGCTCCCTCTACATAGCAGACGTGCTCACTATAATGGAAGACCTTGAGGGGGACTGTTTGGACACGTACCTAACTCGCCCTAGGATCCCCTACGATATCCTGTTCGCTATTGGAGGCTGGAGCGCTGGAAGCCCCACGAGTTTTGTGGAAACCTACGATAACCGCGCTGATCGCTGGCTGGTCTCCAAGGACACTGATATAGTAGCGCGCGCCTACCACGGCATGTGTAGCTTCGGGGAAAAGATCTACTTGGTAGGCGGGTTCGATGGGAATGAGTACTTCAATACCGTGCGCTGTTTTGATCCTTCGAACCACACATGGAGCGACTGCGCTTGCATGTACTACTCCCGATGCTACGTCAGCGTGGTGGAGTGTTCGGGGAAAATCTACGCCATGGGTGGCTACAATGGGAGAATTCGCATGAGCTCAGCTGAGCGGTTTGACCCGCTGCGCAACCAATGGGAGCTACTGCCCGCCATGCAAAAGCAACGCTCAGACGCCAGTGCTGCCAGTCTGAACAACAAGGTCTACATAGTGGGCGGGTTCAATGGGCAGGAGGTGATCAATTCGGCTGAAATGTTCGACCCATTGACCAATCAATGGTCCTTCATCCCCCCCATGATCTCCGCTAGGTCAGGGGTCAGCCTGATCGCGCACCACAACGCCCTCTATGCGATTGGCGGCTTCAATGGAACCACTCGCCTTCCATCGACGGAGAAATTCATCCCCGACTCCTCCTCCAGCCCCGCCTGGATGGAGATGTCCGACATGATGACCCCAAGGAGTAATTTCGGCACTGTTATCCTGGATGATTGCATTTACGTGATCGGGGGGTTTAATGGATCCACCACCATTAACTACGTGGAGTATTTTGACATGGAGACCGGCGAGTGGATGGATGCGGCTTCGATGAATCTGAACCGGTCCGCTCTGAGTGCTTGCGTGATCAGCGGCCTCCCCAACTCCAAGGACTACTCGTTTTTGGACCGCAGCCAGAGGCGGCAGAACAAGGAGGCAAAGGATGGGGTTTGAATTTGTTGGGGGGATTTTAATTTTAGTAGCAAGCGTTAGTGTGTATAAACGGGCATATTTGGCTGATTAAAATTTGCATATAGGGTGTCTCAAAAATTAGTCGCAGGAGCCTCAAATTCCCAATTTATGCTGGAATTTTTGGGATTCCACCCTGAACTCTGCAACTAAAATTTGCAACTCAGCTGATAAGAAAACAGACAAACCGGTTAGTGTGTGTAAACGGGCATATTTGGCTTACTAAAATTTGTATATAGGATGTCTCAAAAGTTAGTCGCAGAAGCCTCAGATCCCCAGTTTATGCTGGAATTTTTGGGATTCTATCCTGAACTCTGCAACTGAAATTTACAACTCTGCCGAAAAAAAAACCATACAAGCCTGTTAGTGTGTTTAAGAGGACACATTTGGTTAATTAAAATTTGCATATACGGTGTCTCAAAAGTTAGTCGCAGTAGCCTCAGATCCCCAGTTTATGCTGGCATTTTTGGGATTCCACCCTGAACACTGCAAGTGAAATTTGCATCACTGCTGAAAAAAACCGAGACAAACCGATTAGTGTTTATAAGAGGGCATATTTGGCTAACTAAAATTTGCATACCGGGTGTCTCAAAAGTTAGTCGCAGTAGCCTAAATCCCCAGTTTATGCCGGCATTTTTGGGATTTCACCCCGAACACTGCAAGT